TACGAAAACGTCTAGAATTCAAGTTGACAAGATATTGTCATTTGATTGACATGATGAGTACAACAAATGTACATTGAATTGTACTATTCTTATTTCTTAGATCTAGCTTATAGATTTATGACTTTAAAAGAATGCCAGGCATAGCATAGCCAAGTACAGAATAGCCGAAAGCACAATGAGGTAACTGGTTGATGTACAGCTGGGATGGAGGGCTGTCAGATTTGTTTAAATAAATGACCTTGACCTTCATTTACTGTTACAGGGTCATAAATGTTTATGAAATTTGTGAAGGCCTAGGTTCATTACCGTCAATCTATTTGACATGTAGGTGATTTTTTACCCCTTTTTTAGTGCCGACTTTAGGTACTTTCCCCAAGTGAAGTATTCCCAATTCTGACCCAATATTTTCCCAATCGCTTGTAAACAAATTAAAGTATGCCATCTTATAAACTGTTGTACAACGATGTTTAAAATTTAGACAAATAAAAGTTTATCTTGGGGCATTGAATTCAAGCTTCAAGCTTTGGTTACACATGTGGTTGTTTGAGCGCGATCAAACAGAATTTCCCTAATATCATACATTCGCGCAGTAAATTCCCAATAAAAAAGGCACCAGCCCTTTAGAAAAAAAGTAAAAAGAACACTGGGATATTTGACATGTTCACAGCTGGGATCAAGTACTATCAATTTTATTAAAATAAATAATCTTTAATGCTGTTAACACACTTCAAGAAACATCTATAAATCCTGTAGATTGCTAAGAGTTAACACACTATCAAGTTTGGCAACTGACTGAACTGCATTGACTTACTTTTGATGTTTTATGACTAAGGTGAGTTAAAGTTTTCTCTGTAGTGTTAGCCTGTTTGCTATGAAAATTGTTGAAAAATTATTCGGATGTTGGCTTTTAGGTTTTCCCATTTTGAAGGTCACAGATGGGAGAAATGTTTCCGAATGATGTTAATGAAAGATACAGGCCCAATCATGAATGGATGTCTCATTTGAATTTTTATGTTTCTTACTTGAAAATATAAAAAAAACTTGGCTCCCATTGATTTTTAGCCCGCAATCATCAGATGGTAGGCTATTTAAATCACCCTTCAACCGTTCTTCAACAATTCTTGTTAGCAATATTTCTCAGAAAGTACTTGAGAAGGTATACATACTTCACCCGTGGTCCCCTTGTTTGTATTCTTATACAATAGCATTTGTCATAGTGGCAAATGACATAAACATGAGGTTTAAGTTAATGTACAAGATTCCAACACGGGACTGCCATGGGTGATAGTATCTGTAAGTGTGAAGCCCAGGGGGCTGAGTGTCGGGGCCAAAAGGGAGTCAAATTGGCTATATTGCTACAAACAACTTCTTCTGTAGAACTATGTACTGGATATCAATAATATCTGAACAAAAGCATTCATGGGAGGCAGGGGTTCAAAATTGTACAAATGGTGTGGCTGACCCCCCAGGAGGCTGAGGGGCAGGGCCAAAAAGGGTTATTTGGCTATATTGCTTTAAGCAACTTCTTCTCTGGAACTAAGAGATGGATATAAACCATATTTGACTGGAAGCATCCCTAGTTGGTGGGGATTCAAAATTGTTCAAATGGTGGGGCTGACCCCCAGGGGGCTGAGGGTTAGGCCAAAAGGGGGCAATTTGGCTATATTGCTATAAGCGACTTTTGTAGAACTATGCTATGGATATCGATCATATTTGGGGGGAAGCATTCTAGGGAGGCAGGGATTTAAAATTGTACAAATGGGAGGGCTGACCCCCCAGGCTAAGGGGTGGGGCCAAAAAAGTTTATTACTTGGAAATGGTTGAGATCCCCACCGTATCACCATATATGCAATTGCTGAGTTTAAAAAGAAGAATGCACATTTGCCTCCAGGATTGCTCTAGGGTCTGGCCCCACTCTTGGAGACAAAGTCCCTGGGTCATAACTTCAAAACTGTTAAGATCCCCACCCCAAAACTATTTATACAATTGTTTGGCATAAAGAGACGAATGCAGTCATGATATTAGAATTTACCCCATGGTCTACCCTACCCTTGCAGACTTAACTCCTGGGTCATAACTTTGAAACGGTTGAGATCCCCACCCCAAAACTATAAATACAAATGCTGGGCAAAAAGAGACAAATGCATTCATGATATTAGAATTGATCCTGGGGACAACCCTAGGGACCTAGTTTCTGAGTCACAGCTTGGAAACAGTTGAGACCGCCACCCCATAACCATACATAAAAATGCTTGGCATGAAAAATCTTATACAGTTATGCTACAAGGATTTGCCTTAGGGTCTGGCATATTCCCTAGGATCTCATTTGAAGAATATTTTGCCATGATTGCTTAGATATCCAGGAGAGCAATACAGGCCATCTGGGCCTCTTGTTTATATTTCAGATTTGAAGCCATTTCAATTACTATTAATGTACTTCTCTACAATAAGGATATTACTCAAGAAATGTAGGCCAGGTCAGTTAGTAACGAGCGGTCGCATGCTGTGACGTGTACTTGGTACACTGGTGATAGTGTGTATGACCCTGGTGTGTCATTTCTAGTCGCCCCAGCAGGACGTATAGTTTGCTAAAGCTTTTCCAATGGCACAAATATTTTTCTTTATTTTTTTGTGGTATTTGGCATTGTTGCGCTGTTATGTGCAGTTTTTTATAACCGATTATTTTTTGTTTTATATGGAATGCAAATTTGCGTTAAGTCTATAACAGGCTTTTTGTTCACGATAATCACAGTTGTATTCATGTTATTTCGTGTTTTATTTTTTGACAGTTGTTAGCATAACTCAGATTATGGTAGGACATGATGGATCATTTTAGGACAGAGTAAGACAGTGGTCCAACTGTCGCCTCGCAGAAATCTTGCAGGGAAGTAATAGTTATTCCCGCTTTTGGATACAGGTTTCCGGGGGCTATCTCCGGTTTTTCCTTTGTGTGCAGGTTGATTTCGATGACCGGGGGTTTATATTAGGGGGTTTATCATGGGTACATTTTAGTCTTCAATCTCATGGTTTTGAAACGTTTTTGAAATGTATATACATTGTACTTAGTGGTATATAACGTTGTATATTGATTAAACGCCCACCGCCCTGCGTCCTTTCGGCGAGCTAGCGGCACATAGTACATTTGTGTTGGTGTGAATTTTTAAGGTAGCCGAGTGGAGTGAGACCAATGTTGATATTTAAGATCCTTCTTTAACCAATTGGGATCAGAATTATATTGGTAATTTTTGATAATTTAATAAATGGGTTTGATGGTTTATTTGTTTCTTTTCAGGAAAATAAGACATGGATAGAATGGTTTAGAAAATCAGATCCCTTCATGAAAGCTACATTGTCAGGACTTGCTATAGGATTAGGGATGGGATCTGGATTCTATCTCATAACAAGTAAGTTTGCTTTATTTCTTTTTATTCAAATAGCAATTTGTGTTTGTGGCCAGACACTGTGATAATTAAAGTTATATTTAGTTCAGTGAATTCATTTTGATAAGTGTGTGCATGTTGTATGTAAATGTATGTTTGGGCCAAAAATATAAGTTGTTTGTTTCCAGTAACCCATCCTCGATACTCAAGGGGTTATCCTCACTTATACTCTCTGCACCCCTGGAATATGTCATCGAAAAATTGAAGGCATGAAGAAAGCTGTTTGATTGGTCTCAGGTAAAAAAAAACTTGACCAATCGCTAGTCTGATTAGGCTGATACCAGTCCTTTGAAGATTACAGAGGAGTGACAGCTGTGACACTCAACAGGCATGAGAAATAAATATTTCATTCTTAAACTGATCCAATTTATGTAAATATTTTTTTCAGTTTTAGTATTTTTTTTACAGGGAAGCAGAGAGCTGCACATCATGTTGGATGGATTTCATATATTGCTTCAACAGCTGGTTTATGGTGAGTTGGAGAAAGGACAGTTTTTGTCTCGCGTCACGGAGCAGCGCAAGCGTGACTTCCTGCTAAGGTGTTGCTGGCGTAAACATTAGGTTTTTGCATTTAAGTTACTTTCACTGAAAGTATAAGTGCTACACCAACCAAGCTTGGACCATAGATACATCCTAGGTAGTACATCTCAACCCAGGCATCAAATGCTGGATGCAGCATACCTTTCATGGTCCGTTGACTTTGTCAGCATCAACATTCTCTGAGACTATAAGAGCTACACCAACCAAACTTGACATGTGCATTGAGCCGGGCACAGGTGAAACATATCAATCCGAATGGCTTGTATATAGCTAGATTCTTTTTTGTTTCAGTAGATGTTTTGTATCTTCATGAAGGTAATAGGATTGTGTCGCCATTTCTCAGTAGAATTTCTTCAAATTTTGTAGTTATATTGCTTTGAATTTAATTGAAATAAAGAAAACTTTCTGCCACAAAAAAAATGCAGGTTGTCATAATTTTAAGGAATTTAAATGGAAAATTATATAAAAAGGAGTGACTTTTGAAAAAAAAAATGAAAGACACAATGTTTTGCAAACTGCTATAGATTAGTATTGCATTAATGTATATCAATTTAATAAATGCTGAAATTATGTCAAATAAACTATCTATGAACGATTAAAAATTGATATTTTATAATAAAACCATATACACATAGTAATTGCAGGTAAAAGTTATCTTCCTTGAAAAATTTCACAGTAGTGAAATAGGTAGCCGGTTTCCTGAAGTACAGAAAAATGGATTATGTGGCTCATTGATAAAATAAACACCTGAATTAATGCCTGCATTGCTTTAAAATACTTTAATATTGAGAGAAAACACTGTTCTGTCAATAATAAACATACAATATTCATCAGTTTAATATTAAACATTAGAATATGCGGAAATTGTGATACTGTCTCTCTACATTGAATTTTTAACTAGGGATGTACTTCCTACTTCCGTTTATCAATACACTCCTATGACCTTAAGCCTTCTTTTATTATAAAAAGTGTTACTGTTTTGTATTGTTACATGTATGATGTTAAGGATCCCTGTCCCACTGCACTAGGTTTCGTATATAGAGTAACCTCCCTTTAATTACATTTTGGAAAAACGTACAGTTGGTTCAGGATAACTCTGTTTACTGGCAAATAGAGCAGTAGTATTACAAACAGTCTAGTAAGTGATACAACTGTCAAATAAGATATACCTGTCCAGTGAGTAGATACATCTGTCCTGTGAGTAGATACGCCTGTCCTGTGAGTAGATATACCTGTCCTGCGAGTAGATATACCTGTCCAGTGAGTAGATATACCTGTCATGTGAGTAGATATACCTGTCCTGTGAGTAGATATGCCTGTCCAGTGAGTAGATATGCCTGTCCAGTGAGTAGATATACCTGTCCTGTGAGTAGATACACCTGTCCAGTGAGTAGATATACCTGTCCTGTGAGTAGATACGCCTGTCCATTGAGTAGATACACCTGTCCAATGAGTAGATACACCTGTCCAGTGAGTAGATACACCTGTCCTGTGAATAGATACACCTGTTAAATGAGTAGATACACCTGTCCAGTGAGTAGATATACCTGTCCAGTGAGTAGATATACCTGTCCTGTGAGTAGATACACCTGTCCAGTGAGTAGATATAGCTGTCCTGTGAGTAGATACACCTGTCCTGTGAGTGTATACACCTGTCCAGTGAGTAGATACACCTGTCCAGTGAGTAGATATACCTGTCCAGTGAGTAGATATACCTGTCCATTGAGTAGATATACCTGTCCTGTGAGTAGATATACCTGTCCAGTGAGTAGATATACCTGTCCTGTGAGTAGATATGCCTGTCCAGTGAGTAGATATGCCTGTCCAGTGAGTAGATATACCTGTCCAGTGAGTAGATACACCTGTCCAGTGAGTAGATACACCTGTCCTGTGAGTAGATACGCCTGTCCAGTGAGTAGATACACCTGTCCAGTGAGTAAATATACCTGTCCAGTGAGTAGATATAGCTGTCCTGTGAGTAGATATGCCTGTCCAGTGAGTAGATATACCTGTCCAGTGAGTAGATACACCTGTCCTGTGAGTAGATATACCTGTCCTGTGATTAGATACACCTGTCCTTTGAGTATATATACCTGTCCTGTGAGTAGATACACCTGTCCAGTAAGTAGATATACCTGTCCTGTGAGTAGATACGCCTGTCCATTGAGTAGATACACCTGTCCAATGAGTAGATACACCTGTCCATTGAGTAGATACACCTGTCCAATGAGTAGATACACCTGTCCAGTGAGTAGATACACCTGTCCTGTGAGTAGATACACCTGTCCAATGAGTAGATACACCTGTCAAATGAGTAGATACACCTGTCCAATGAGTAGATACACATGTCCAATGAGTAGATACACCTGTCCTGTGAGTAGATACACCTGTCCAATGAGTAGATACACCTGTCCAATGAGTAGATACACCTGTCCAATGAGTAGATACACATGTCCAGTGAGTAGATACACCTGTCCTGTGAGTAGATACACCTGTCCAATGAGTAGATACACCTGTCAAATGAGTAGATACACCTGTCCAATGAGTAGATACACATGTCCAGTGAGTAGATACACCTGTCCTGTGAGTAGATACACCTGTCCAATGAGTAGATACACCTGTCAAATGAGTAGATACACCTGTCCAATGAGTAGATACACATGTCCAGTGAGTAGATACACCTGTCCTGTGAGTAGATACACCTGTCCAATGAGTAGATACACCTGTCAAATGAGTAGATACACCTGTCCAATGAGTAGATACACATGTCCAGTGAGTAGATACACCTGTCCTGTGAGTAGATACACCTGTCCAATGAGTAGATACACCTGTCAAATGAGTAGATACACCTGTCCAATGAGTAGATACACATGTCCAGTGAGTAGATACACCTGTCCTGTGAGTAGATACACCTGTCAAATGAGTAGATACACCTGTCAAATGAGTAGATACACCTGTCCAATGAGTAGATACACATGTCCAGTGAGTAGATACACCTGTCCTGTGAATAGATACACCTGTCCAATGAGTAGATACACCTGTCCAGTGAGTAGATACACTTGTCCAGTAAGTAGATACACCTGTCCAGTGAGTAGATACACCTGTCCAATGAGTAGATACACCTGTCCAGTGAGTAGATACACCTGTCCAATGAGTAGATACACATGTCCAATGAGTAGATACACCTGTCCTGTGAGTAGATACACCTGTTTAATGAGTAGATACACCTGTCCAATGAGTAGATACACCTAGCTAGTGATCATAAGTAGATATGACTTTCGCCTTAGTTGATACACTTTAAGTTTTAGTTGTGAGGTACAGCATTATGTTAGAAGGGAGGTACTCTTGATTGTTATGTTTAGAGATTTATCTGTACTGTGCTTAATTATGATTCTGATTATATTTTTCAGGCTGTATTATGATGCACATAATACAAGACGATTGGGTACATATGACGATAAGTGACAAAGTCAAACATCAGTTACAATGATTCAATATTGAGACCCATGGCTATTCTGAGTACCTGTCAGGAATGTTTTCATCATTTTGACTGTAACACTATCATGTTAACAATATATATAGTACAGAGTACTGTTACTGTAGTTGTGAAAAACTGTGATCTAGATCTACCACTGAGGACAATGTTGACAGCACTCAGTTTCCTAAAGTAGTTTTGGAATTCATCTTTTAAACATTGTAATTTTTGCCAATCATGGAAAACATTTCCATGTGCCATTGTACCTGTATTACAGCTAGTATGTTACAAGCTGTGATGACGTCTGTTAGGACCTGGCAGTCCTATGCTGGATGGATATATGACCTAGGGTGGATATGATTGAAATGCAAATGATAGTATTTGTGTAAATGTTAATGAAAGATATGTGAATGTGTTCAAGGTTTACTATTGTTTGATGTGAAAATAAAATCTACTGTACATTATTGGAGCCTCTATTTGTTTTCGGGCAGGTGAGCTTATGCCATGGCACCTTCCATAGTACGTTGTCGTCGGTCAACTTTTCCTTTAAAAAACTACTAGTCCTGAATGGCTTAGTGAATTTTAACTAAATTTTGTCTATGACATCCTCAGCCAAAGAGGTTTCAATTTTGTGTAAATAGAGGGTGTGTCCCCCCTGGAGTTAGAGGAGTGGGGCACAATAGGGGAAATTGAGATTAATATTTAAATTCCTTCTCCTTTAATGGGTAGGAGGCAGGACCAAAAAGGGGTAATTTTGCCATATTACTTTATAACTGTTTCACTTGAACAAAGTGATATAAGTCAACCATATTTGATTTAGAGCATTCTTCAATGGTTGAAGATTCAAAATTGTTTTAGTTGAAAGTCTGACCCCTTGTTCTGAAGTGTTGGGCCAAATTGAATTTTTAGCTTGACATTATTGAGATCCCCACCCTTTAACCTTGTAAACAATTTCTGAGCATCAGAAGACAAACACAAACATGATAAAAGAATTGACTCTTGGGTCTGGCCCCATCCCTAGGGACTTGATTTCTGAGCCATAACTTTGAAATGGTTGATATCTCCTACCCATAACCCTATATACCATTGCTGGGCATCACGAGACGGACACAATCATAATATTAATATTGACCATTGAATCTGGCCCTACGGGACTTAAATTTCTGGACCATAACGTTGAAATGGTTGAGATCCTGAACCCATAGCCATATATACCATTGCTGGGCCTAAAGATCCAGGTGAGCGATACAGCCCCCTCTGGGCCTCTTGTTTATGCCCGTCTATGAAAGGACATGATAGAGTTGACATTGGCTAATTGACTGGCTGAGTATCAATAATATATATAAAATTATGTCATTGTAAGTTGGTGTTTTTCTTTCTGATCAATCGGTTCAAGCATAGAAAAATTGGGGTGAAGTTGAAAAAAGGCAAATTGTGGTATTTCAGTACGATGATTATAGAAAAAGCAAAGCTCAGATTTTCAAAAGATGTACTATTTTACCTGATTATACACATTTCAACATTTCAAATTATATTGTTAACATTTCAAACAGCATTTAAAATAATTAAATGGCAGAAATTGGAGCCTATTGTTTTATGCATCTTACCTCACTAAATACACGTAATAACAAAAGGAGTTGATAACATGTACCTTGGCCTGATTTGGGTCATTGAACTGAGCAGCAGCGACCTACTTTTATCATAGATTGGCACATAAAGTATATCACCACGGAGAATACATACAGTTGTAACTACCAGGTTAATATATAGAACAATTGTACATGTAGCTCCTAGTTTTTCTTTACATCATATAAACAAAAAGCCATATTTTGCCCTTTTCAACTTCATCCTCTCATTTTTCTGTGCAGGGACCCAAAAAGAAACCTCATTTTGTGATAACCTAATTATACTGGCTATTAAACTTATTATTAAATAGTATGTTTTCCTAAACACAAAAGGTTTGTCATATTTCTTTAAAAATATAAATGTGATTTTAGGTCTGTAGCCCAAAAGACCAAGTAAAGTATTACAACAAAATTTGGCAGAAAGCCTCCATAAATTATGTCGAATCATAGTTGCCAAACAACAGCGGGTGGCCCCTTCAGGAATGGCAAAAGTGGGATAAAACTAGCAGTCTCCGAGAGTTATGTTTTACATAGTTATTATATTTTGTTAAAGAAAAACTAAATCTGTCGATTGAACTTTGCAAAATTTGAATGCTGAAGCATTCAAATAACTTCTGTAGAACAGTTGGCCCATAGTAAGGTGACAGGCAACAGATATGTCAGTAACATATTCAAACGACTTCATAAGAATCGAAAGGTCTTGGGTCAAGATATATGGCTATAAGTTTGCTGGCACGGAATGCTTCACTGTACAATGTTTGCAAAAAAAATCACTGACATATATAATCAGGTTATTAGTAACAAACAAGTTAAAACACTCCAGTGACCTCTTCTTAGTTGATCAGTAGTCTGCAGACAAAGACTGCTGCCAATTTCTAAAAATAAAATGACAGTGACTCGTATTCAAAGTCTTATGGATATAATATCAGTTATAACACTTTAAGAACTTCTTCTTGTGAGCCAAAAGGCCTGGGGGTAACTCACCATGCAAGCAACTCCCCGTTGTCGAGGTCATACCAGATTTGTCAAGACTATATATATACTACGAGGCGATATGGGATGGCACTCTTGTAACGTAAATCAGTTTTTAGAAATAATACGTTTATTTTTAAGAATAAAATCTTGTGATGATAACAGACTCTACAAAAGGTACATACATGGTCAGTAGGCCTGAAAAAATCTTGGTTCGCCAGAAAAGCAAACGAAGGGTGCTATTTAATTTTAGATGCGGCTCTCTACCCCTAGCAGTTGAAACTGGTAAATTCGCCAAACCGGTGATTCCTCTTCAAGAACGCATATGTAAATTGTGTACAAATGTAAATAACTGTATAGAAGATGAATTCCACTTTTTAATGAAATGTACTGTGTATAATGATATTAGATCAACTCTATTTGATGTGGTAAAAAACATATGTACCGATTTCACTAATCTTAGTGATGCAGACAAATTCAAGTACTTAATGTCTTCTGAGGAACTACAAATGCCACTAGCAAATAATTTGTATAAAATGTACAGACGACGCAGTTCTTTGTGCGTCTAGTATTTTACTACAATGCAAATAATTAATTAGTGTCTCGTAAGCCGTATCCGGCTGTTTTATTTAAAAATACATTATTTTTTTTACCAGGGATCAATGCAGGGGTTTGGTTTATAAGTGGGTAAGCTCCCTTTAACATTGAAATATTCTTAAATATATTAAAGCCATTGATCAATGTTTAAAGTTTATTTTTCTCTATCGTGTTTTAAAGTTGTAAATGTACCTTTGAGATGGGACTTCGAAAAGCCCTTACAATGACTTTAACCTGTTATTCCTTTTTTTAAACTTATAAATAAAAAAAATAAAAAATAAAGTTACATCGTATGATTGCAGTGGCGCAGAGCGACCTGTCTTCGCTGGTAGGGCTCTCCCCAACCCTAAGGTAGCGCACTTTGAGTCACTGCAACCTACATGTTAATAATAATAAGAAGGGTAGTCTCACAATAATCTAATGTCGATATTGATCCCTATTACAAGTGGGTGGGTTTTTTATGTTAAACAAACTATTTTAAGTTCTAGGAAACAGCCAACTGCAAGTATTTTATATGTACCAATTTGTACAAGTATTTTATATGT